GACATTGGCAAAAAACAATGCTTCAGGAATTGATGGAATACCAATTGAGATGTTTCAACACACAGATGAAGCACTGGAAGTGTTCAGTTGTCTATGCCAAGAAATTTGGAAGACAGCTACCTGGCCAACTGACTGGAAAAAATCCATATTTATGCCTATTCCCAAGAAAGGTGATTCAACCGAATGTGGAAATTATTACTATCACACGCAAGTAAAATTTTGCTGAAGATCATTCAGAAGCAGCTACAGCAGTATATTGATAGGGAACTGCCAGAAATTCAAACCGGATTTAGAAGAAGATGTGGAACCAAGGATATCATTGCCGACATCAGATGGATCCTGGCTGAAAGTAGAGTACCAGAAAGATGTTTACCTGTGTTTTATATACTATGCAAAGGCACTCGATTGTGTGGATCATAACAAATTATGGATAAACATTACAGAGAATGGGAATTCCAGAACACTTAATTGTGCTCATGAGGAACCTGTACATGGATCAAGAGGCAGTCGTTTGAACAGAACAAGGGGATACTACGTGATTTAAAGTCAGGAAAGGTGTGTGTCAGGGTTGTAACCTTTCACCATACGTATTCAATCTGTCTGCTGAGCAAATGATCCGAGAAGCTGGACTATATGAAGAAGAACAGGGCATCAGGATTGGAGGAAGACTCATTAACAGTCTGCATTGTGCAGATGACACAACCTTGCTTGCTGAAAGTGAAGAGGACTTGAAGCACTTACTGATGAAGATCAAAGACCACAGCCTTCAGTATAGATTACACCTGAACATAAAGAAAAACAAAAATCCTCACAACTGGACCAATAAGCACCACCATGATAAACAGAGAAAAGATTGAAGTTTTCAAGGATTTCATTTTACTTGGATCCACAATCCACACCCATGGAAGAAACAGTCAAGAAATCAAGCGATGCATTGCGTTGGGCAAATGTGCTGTAAAAGACCTCTTTAAGGTGCTGAAAAGCAAAGATGTCACCTTGAGGACTAAGGTGCAGCTGACCCAAGCCATGGTGTTTTCAGTTGCCTCATATGCATGTGAAAGCTGGACGATGAGTAAGGAAGACAGAAGAAGAACTGACACCTTTGAATTGTGATATTGGCTAAGAATATTGAATATACCATGGACTGCCAAAAGAACAATCAAATCTGTCTTGGAAGAAGTGCAACCAGAATGCTCCTTAGAAGCAAGGATGGCAAGACTACATCTCACATACTTTGGACATATTATCAGGAGGGATCAGCCCCTGGAGAAGGACATTATGCTTGGTAAAGTAGAGGATCAGCGAAAAAGAGGAAGACCCTCAATGAGATGGATTGACACAGTGGCTGCAACAATGGCTGAAGCATAGCAACAATTGTGAGGATGGTGCAGGACTTGGCAGTGTTTAATTCTGTTGTGCATGGGGTCGCTATGAATTGGAACCGACTCGAGGGCACCCAGTAGCAACAATCTTTACAGAAGCAGACTGCCACATCTTTCTCCCGTGGAGTGGCTGGTGGGTTTGAACCGCCAACCTTTTATGTCACCAAAAAAAAAAACCTATTGCCATTGAGCCAATTCTGACTCATAGTGGCCCTATAGGGCACAGCAGAACTGCCCCATAGGGTTTCCAAGGAGCAGCTGGTGGATTCGAACTCATGATCTTGTGGTTAGCAGCCAAGCTCTTAACCACTGCGACACTGGGGCTCCATTGTGCCACCAGGGCTCCTTAAATGTAGTATATCAATAGCATCAGTATATCTTTAAAGTCAGAAATTCTCAGATTGGGTTAATAATAACAACAACAACAAAATAGCTATGTGCTATTTACAAGAGACCCGCCTAAAACTTTGTGTTTCAAGTTGAAAGTAAAGGAATGGAAAGTAGTACCAAGGCAAACTGTAACCAAAGGAAAGCCAGTAAGCAACATTTGTATTAGAAAAATAAATTTTAAGGAGAAGACAAATAGTATCATTACTTAATAATAAAAGAGACTATTAACCAGGAAGATAAAACAATCTTTCACGTGTAGGCATCTAATCACACATCTCAAACATATATGTAAAAATGGACAGAATTACAAAAAGAAATTGACAAACGCACAACTAGATTTTTATATTTCTCACTCAAAAACCAGTAGATAAAGCAGACAACGGTAAAGATAAAGAAAATTTGAGCAATCCAGTTAACAAATTTGAGCTAGATAGGTCCTAGCACACAACAGCCAGAGAGTACATGGTCCTTTCACCCACATGTAGAACTTTTATTTTTAAAATTTCTACTTATTAGGCCATAAAACAAAGTTCAGTTAGTACTAAAAACTGATATATCATAAGCTATATGCTTTAACCATGAAATAATTAGGAATCATTTTTCTGTTTTTGTTCAAAGGGGATACATGTAATTCAAAATAAATTTTTCTCTAATCCAAAGTAATTGCAAAGGGAAGTTTTCAGTTAGTAAGTAGTGTAAATGGAGCTCTGGTGGTACAGTGGTTAAGAACTCAGCTGTTAACCAAAAGGTTGGCAGTTCGAAATCGCACATCCGCTCCTTGGCAATCCTATGAGGCAGTTCTACTCTGTCCTGTAGGTTTTCTATGAGTTGGAATCGACTCCATGGCAATGATTTGGTTTGGTTTTGGTTTTTAAGTAGTATAAATAAAGAAAATAAAAAAATTCAAGCCTCGAGTTGTACTATTGAAGGATTCTATGAGAAAATATCGAACAATGCAGAAAGCACTGAAGGAAGATGGAAGGAATACACAGTCATTGTACCAAAAAGAATTGGTCGACGTTCAGCCATTTCAGGAGGTAGCAAATGATCAAGAACTGATGGAACTGAAGGAAGAAGTCCAAGCTGCACTGAAGGCATTGGCGAAAAAACAAGGCTGCAGGAATACCCATTGAGATGTTTCAACAAATGAATGCAGCACTGGAGATGTTCACTTGTCTATACCAAGAAATGTGGAAGACAGTTATCTGGCCAACGGACTGGAAGAGATCCATATTTGTGCCCATTCCAGAAAAGGTGATCCAACAGAATGTGGAAATTATCAAACAGTATCATTAATATGACACACAAGTAAATTTTGCTGAAAATAATCAAATGTGGTTGCAGCAGTACATTGACAGGGAACTGCCAGAAATTCAAGCTGGATTCAGAAGAGGACATGGAACAAGGGAAATCATTGCTGATGTCAGATGGATCTTGGCTGAAAGCAAAGAATACCAGAAAGATATTTACCTGTATTTTATAGACTATGCAAAGGCATTCAACTATGTGGATCCTAACAAATTATGGATAACATCTCAAAGAATGGGAGTTCCAGAACAACTTAATTGTGCTCATGTGAAACCTTTACACAGACCAAGAAGCAGTCATTCGAGCAGAACTGAGTGGTTTAAAATCAGGAAAGGTGTGCATCAAGGTTGTATCCTTTCACATACTAAATTCAGTCTGTATACTGAGCAAATAATCTGAGAAGCTGGATTATATGAAGAAGAATGCAGCATCAGAATTGGAGGAAGAGTCATTAACAACCTGCGATATGCAGATGACACAGTCTTGCTTGCTGAAAGTGAAGAGGACTTGAAGCACTTACTGATGAAGATCAAAGATTACAGCCTTCAGTATGGATTACACCTGAACATAAATAAAACAAAAATCCTCACAACTGGACCAATAAGCAACATCTTGATAAATGGAGAAAAGATTGAAGTTGTTACGGATTTCATTTTACTTGGATCCACAATCAACACCCATGGAAGCAGCAGTCAAGAAATCCAGTGATATATTGCATTGGGCAAATCTTCTGCAAAAGACCTCTTTGAAGTATTAAAGAGCAAAGATGTCAGTTTGAGGTCTTAAGGTGCACCTGACCCAAGCCATGGTATTTTCAGTTGCCTCATATGCATGGGAAAGCTGGATAATGAATAAGGAAGACCCAAGAAGAATTGACAGCTTTGAATTATGGTGTTGTAAATAATGTTGAATATACAGTGGACTACCAGAAGAAAGAACAAATCCGTCTTGGAAGAAGTACAGCCAGATTGCTTCTTAGAAGGGACTTTGTCTCATGTACTTTGGACATGCTATCAGGAGGGGCCTGTCCCTGGAGAAGGACATCATGCTTGGTAAAATAGAGGGTCAGCAAAAAAGAGGAAAACCCTCTACGAGATGGATTGACACAGTGGCTGCAACAATGAGCTCAAACACAGCAAAGATTGTTAGGATGGCGCAGGACCAGGCAGTATTTAGTTTTGTTGAACATAAGGTCACTATAAGCTGGAACCAACTTGACGGCACCTAACAACAACAGTAAATAAAGAAGGCAGAAAATTAGCAGAGTTTCTTGAATTATCCTCTTGGAAAGAAAAGAGAAAAAGATGATACAGGGCTTTATGTGTGCCAGAAACAGGAGAAATTGCACCCTGCAACCCCACCAAATCAACATGGTGCCAATAGAAACTGCTGTAGAAACTAGTAATAAATGGGAACTTATTGACAGAAGAATATATTATAAAGAGGCATAGAGCTTTATTAGTGAGAAAGAACATTAACTGCACCCAGTAAATCTGCCATTTCTAATCTGACTGCCCCAAACCAAACCCTTGTGGCAGAGAATGAATACAGCAAGAGCAATCACCAACAGAAAGTATAAACCTCTCAAGTAGTTCTGGGACTGCCAGAGAATTGTGATGATGTGACACTTGTGGTCTGAATCATCAGAAAACAAATTCCAGGAAAATATAGCCCTTATATGTATCTTCAGGTATTTGTAAGGTATTTGGGTGGTACATAGCTTAGGTACCTGAATATTGACTCTGTTCATCATGTGTAATGTTTACAAGCAGGTTTTTTGTTTGTTTTGTTGTTGTTTTTTGTTTATGATTGCACATGGGTGAGAAATTTGATTGTTTTTGTGGATATAAAGCACTCCTGGAATATATGATCTACCTAGGTTTTCCCATGGATTGTAATTGTCTGCTTTCATTTTCACAGTGTGTGGACAATATACGGTGTAATGGTTTAATGACTATAGTGTTTGAAGAGAATTCCAAAGTAACTGTGCCACATATGATTAAGTAAGTATCATGATTGTTTCCCTTACATTTAAACAAGATCAAATTGTAACGTGTGTATAAAATAAAATATTGCTTCTGAATAAAATATTGCTTCAGTAGGATTCTCTTTCTTATTATTTAGAATGTGTTTCTTGACAGCGATGTGATAATTCGTGTTATGCTGTTATAAATGATAAGGCTGTCAACATGGTTGTTCAGATTCACAGTTTACTTTGTTGACTCATAGCATAGGAAAATTCTGTTTTCCATAATGCTAAATATGCCTCCACTCAAGACAAAAGCCTGTCAAGATTTTCAAGTTCAATGTAAAAAATTAAAGTAGTGACTGCCAGATGCAATACTCAGGCTGTTCAGGGTCAGAGGGTTGACAAATGGTGGCTGCTTCACTTGGCGGCTTGAACCGTATTACCACAGATTTGGTATAGAGATATGTCTCCATTCTGAAGACACCCAACATGAACCAACTTCCTTTTCCATGATGCCATCCACTCACTACCTGCACATGGATTTGCCTCAGAGGTTGTTTGCTTGTGCCCCCATCCTGTTCTCTGTGTGTTTTGTTAACAAGCAAATCCTGTAATTTAAAGTGATTGTTAGGGAAACTACAGCTTAAAAAGAAGTTGTATCAATAATTGTGTGCTAGGGCTCTCTTTACTAGTGCTTTTGTCTCTCTCTCTCTTTTTGGTTTTTATATTCAGAAACTGCTTTTGGATTATTTTGAAACTGACCAAATTGTTCATAACTCTCATTTTCTTGAATGTTTGCACTCCCAATTCTAGGAACAAAATGTTTTTTTATTTGTTTATTTTTAGCAGTTCTATTTTTCAAAAAAATTTATGCAGAACTAAGAAAATGTTTGTCTCCTATGCCTTTCTGTGTGGCTTTTTTGACATCTGATTGTTCATGCTAAGGCAATAAAATACAACTTTACCGCAATGACCTTCCTCTTCTGATAGGCATTGACTACAGTTAGCATCATCCCAATGGTGCAAGTTTAAAACAATTGTTATTGTATCAGATGAAGGCAGAGTACATAATGCTAGTGCCATAATTACTACTGAAAAATAAAAATTATAAAAGAATGATTTGCTAATGGTATTTTAAATTATTAGTCAGATGTACTAATTGAGAGGGATTACTTTGAAACTCCAGGGCAAACAATACTTTAACATTCACTAGTCTAGGTTTTCAGTTTAGTGTAGTTATTTTTTACTTAACCAGATTAGTTAAAAATCTTTATGATGCAAAGTTAAAAATATGAAATTTTAAGTCAAAATATGGAATATTAAGTCAAAAGTTTCAAATTATAACTTAACTTTTGAGCAGAGTTTTTTTTTATTTTTGAGTCAGAGTTTTCTTATTAATTTTCTGCCGCGGGATTCTGATTTTAATACTTCACAAAATTATATATATATATATATAATTTTTTTTTAAAGTACTTTCTTAAAAGTTAGACAGCGATTAAAATCCAAGCTGCTTTAGAATTAGAATGTGTTAAGTTGGACAGTATACCCAAGTTATAAGTCTCTATACCATAGGACAGTTGTAAACCTGCTGTACATATATTTTGTAGACTTTTAAAAATTAATAGTAATATAAACTTTGGTTTTGTGCCTGGCTTGTTATGACCGGTGCCTGAAATCTTCCTTCCCCAATGATGGCAGTTTTATCCGTGTTCAGTCATGTTTGTGCAACCACCTCACATACAGACCAGGACTTTCCTGCCTTTGGGTGCACACAGGGGACGTGTCAGGGAGCAGGAACTGCCTTCCTATGAGGACAGAACTCCATGTCTCAGGCTGTAAGGATTTAGAGTCAAGCATGTTTTGATGTTCATCTTGTACTAGATGTACTCCCAAGGCAGAGTAAAGTATCATCTATTTCTTCCTTCTATTTTTCCCAGCCTCAGTGAGCCTCATTCAGAGGGGAAACTGTGGTTTTGCAATCTCTGTCCCTTCCCATGGAGCTCTGGTGGCAGAGTGGTTTCAACTGCTAACCAAAAGGTCAGCAGTTTGAATCCACCAGCCGCTCTTTGGAAACCGTATGGAGTAGTTCTACCCTGCCCTATAGGCTCTACGTTGTAATTGACTAGATGGCAATGGATGCCTTCCCATGGCCCTCTCCATGGCCTTATCTTACCCTAAATGTTGTATTCCTGGCTCCCTGTGCATCTCCCTGACTGCAGATCACAAAAAATAAATAAATAAAAATCACTACATTTTGCAGAGTTAAAAGAAAAGAATTATCCAGTCTTAATTATGTCTTGTTACTGGCATGGAATCACTTTGCAAGCACTCTCTTCCTTTTAAAACTTACTAATTATTATAGGAGATTAGGGTTTGATGTCTCAGGATTGCTGTTTAAGTGTTTTCCAAAAAGGAGTTGCTATTATCATAGGAGGCTTAAGAACTGCATTATCTCTTTCCCAAGAGTCCCTTAGGAAATAAAATGAGATCCTGTTCAGTAGAATAAAAGAAAATTAAATAATTTCATAATATTTAATTTCTTCTCTTCATTTAAAATAAAAATGTAATCATAATTTTGAGGGACAGGGGGAGTAATTAGTCAGTTTTAATTTTATGTTGGCTACAACGTGTTTTTGTTTTTTTTTTCCTTGTGTTTTGATTAAACTAATTACAGTCAGAAGATGCAAAGCTCAAAACCACGATTAGGATGTTAAATCATGACGTTTATTAGGTAAAATATCCCTTTAAATCATGTCTAAACGTGTTTTACATTTTATGTAGATAGTCTAAGGCTTGTTTTGACATCAATTTCTTAGAAAATAGAGATCTCCAGTGGGGAAATCATGGGGGAAAACTTGATTACCTCATTCAGTCTTCCGTACTGTCTGATATATTCATAGAATTTTCTAAGATATCTTTAATCTATTCATTTTACAAATAAGAAAATTAAGAACCAGAAAAGTCAACTTGGCTGAGGGTCACATAGTGAGTGACAGAAAGAGCCATGCTATTTTTAAGAATCTCAAAAGATACACCCGTATATTTCTGAGACCAGTAATGGGATTGAAAATAAGAGGTCACCCTTAGCAGTTCCCTGGCAGGGGTAAGCTGCTCATTTAAAATGCTCTTTAAACATATTCAGGCAGCTAACAGACACATGAAGAAATGCTCACAATCATTAGCCATCAGAGAAATGCAGATCAAAACTATAATGAGATATCATCTCACCCCAACAAGGATAGCATTAATCCAAAAAACGCAAAACAATAAATGCTGGAGAGGTTGTGGACTGGAACACTTATACATTGTTGCTGGGAATGTAAAATGGTACAAGCACTTTGGAAATCAATTTGGCGCTTCCTTAAAAAGCTAGAAATAGAAGTACCATATGATCCAGCTATCCTTCTCCTTGGACTATATCCTAGAGAAATAAGAGCCATCACACAAATAGATATATGCACACCCATGTTCATTGCAGCACTGTTCACATAGCAGAAAGATGGAAACAACCTAGGTGCCCATCAACGCACAAATGGATAAACAAATTATGGTATATCCACACAATGGAATACTATGCAACGGTAAAGAACAACGATGAAGCCGTGAAACATCTTATAACATGGAGGAAGCTGAGGTCATTTTGCTGAGTGAATTTAGTCAGTCACAGAAGGACAAATATTGTATAAGGCCACTATTATAAGAACTCAAGAAAAGGTTTAAACACAGAAGACAACATTCTTTGATGGTTATGAGGGTGAGGAGGGAGGGTGGGGGTTATTCACTAACTAGATAGTAGACAAGTATTATCTTAGGTGAAGGGAAGGACAGCACACACTACGGGGGAAGTCAGCACAACTGGACTAAACCGAAGCTAAGAAGTTTCCTGAATACAATCAAACACTTTGAGGGACAGAGTAGCAGGGGTAGGGATCTGGGGACCATGCCTTCAGGGGACATCTAGGTCAATTGGCATAACAAAACTTATTAAGAAAATGTTCTGCATCCTACTTCGCTGAGTGGCATCTGGGGTCTTAAAAGCTTGCAAGTGGCCATCTAAGATGCATCAATTGGTCCCAACCACCTGGAGTAAAGGAGAATGAAGAACACCAAAGACACAGGGAAACTATTAGCCCAAGAGCAAGAAAGGGCCACATAAACCAGAGACTTCATCAGCCTGAGACCAGAAGAACTAGATGGTGCCTGGCTACCACCAATGATCACCCTGACAGGGAACACAACAGAGATTCCCTGATGGAGCAGGAGAAAGGTGGGGTGCAGAACTCAAATTCTAGTAAGAAGACCAGACTTAATGGTCTGACTGAGACTGGAGGAACCTCGGAAAGCATGGCCCCCGGATTCTCTATCAGCCCAGAACTAAAACAATTTCTGAGGCCAACTCTTCAGACAGGGATTGGACTGGACAGTGGGACATAAAGTGAGGCGTGTGCCTTTCAGCTCAAGTAGATACAAGAGACTAGGTGGACAGCTTCTGTCCAGAGGTAAGATGGAAAGGCAGAGAGCTGGTTGAATGGACTTGGGGAATCAGGGATGGAAAGGAGGAGTGTGCTGTCACAGTAAGGGGAGAGCAATTAGGGTCCCATAAAGCAATGTATGTATAAATTTTTGTATGGGAGACTAACTTGAAATGTAAACTTCCTTTAAACTACAACAATAAAAAAATTTAAAAAAAAAATAATGCCCTTTCAGGCCTGCAAATGAAGTACTTTCACTTGCACTGAATATACTTTGGGGTGGGAAGTTTCCAAGAGCAAGCTAAGAAAGCTATTGATTCCATTTTATCCAAAAGAAAAGAAATATATAATTTAAAATCCCTCCGAGTGCTGAAAGGGCTTATTAGGGACACTCAACAACAAGCCACTGGGGCTTAGCAAGCAGCCGCCTCGCTGGAAATCATTGGCCCTGTAGCTCATCCTTTAACCAAGGGGTGAAATTGAGGACTTCACGTCATTGACTGCCTGTTCTAGACACTGCAGTGAAGGGGAACAAGGGATTTCAGGAGGGAAAGTGAAGGCTACAGGCGGTCGTGGTGAGGGCTGAGCAATTCTTTGGGCTTCACGTGGCTTCAGCCTCTGCTCACAAGCCTTTCCTCTTGCAAGTTTTTCCCCTTTGCCATCCTCTTTTACCCTCAGTAACAGATGTGCTCCAGTGGCTGTGGATTCCGAGCGTGCCTGTGTGCATCCCCCAGCCTGTGTGCAGCTTCCTCCTGGTTTGGTTATCCAGCTGGAGAGGGTGCCACAGGCTTCTAGTGGAGCTGCCTCAGGAAGAGAGGTTGGGAAGTCAAACAGGAGGTTTTAAAGAATCATAAGCAGAGTACACAGGGTGGCTGTCGGGGTGGGGGTGTGCCTGTTCAAGCAGAATCTCAGGAAGGGTTCACTGCCTATATTTCACCTATTATTTTTTAAGCTCACTTCTGATGTTCCCATTTGAGTTTGGTTTAAGGGCATAGCAATGCTCTTTTCCCTTCCTAAATAAACCGTCGGACTTAAGACTTCACTTCCCTCATAAAAATATGATTGAACTAAAGAGAAGGACTCCACAGGGTGAAATAAATCATTATTACCTCCTCTACAATTAATTTTGGCCTTCCTATACTATAATGGGAGTCCTGATGGCACAGTGGTTAAGAGCTCAGCTACTAACCAAAAGGTTGGCTGTTTGAATCCACCAGCTACCCCTTGGAACCCCTATGGGGCGGTTTTACTCTGTCCTGTAGGGTCACTGTGAGTCGGAATCTACTCGATGGCAACAGGTTTGGTTTTGGTATACTATAATGGCGTACTTTTCAAATAGACCCACCTTGTTGTATATATCTATATACAATAGAAATGTACGTATTTATCCATCTCTTATAAAATGCAATGGAAAGCCCACACACAAGTATTTTTTTACAAATACTGAAATTCTCAGTGGCTGAAGAGGAAGCCTCATGCTGGTTTGGTTATCATGTTCCTGCTTTGCGTGTAGGTCTGATGCACGACTACATACAGACGACACTGACATTTGCTTCAGTAAAACACTCAACTCCTGCAAGGTTCCCCAGATCCGTTATGCCAGCGTGGAGCGCCTCTTGGAGAGGCTGACAGACTTGAGGTTTCTTAGTATAGATTTCCTCAACACTTTTCTGCACACATACCGGATTTTCACTACTGCAGCTGTGGTGCTGGCGAAGCTTTCTGACATATACAAGAGGCCTTTCACCTCCATCCCTGTGAGGTATGTCTGGGATTTGCCTGTCATTAAAGTGTGACCCTAGTGGCTCCTGTGTCAACTCTATTGCTTCAGGCTTTTCTATTTTTTTTTTTTTAAACAATTGAGTAGACCAGTACTTTTTAAACTTTAATATGCATTCAATAAGAAATACCTGGGGCTCTTGTTAAATTACATTTCTTGTTAAATTCAGCAGTCTTGGGCCTGAGTTCTGCATTTCTAACAAGTTCCTGGTTGGTTTTCAGACCACAGTTTAGTAGCAAGGAATCAGACAATATTTAGAAAGTGTCATGTGTTCCTTTGGCAAGGACATGGTGTATATGTAGCATTTGTTGTTGTTAGCTGCTGTCAAGTCCATCTCTTGACCCCTGGGTTCCCAGTGTACAACAGAACAAAACACTGCCCAGTCCTGCACCATTCCCATGATCAGTTGAGGATTGGACCATTGTTATCCATTGAGTTTTCACTGGCTGATTTTCAGATGTAGATCTCCAGGCCTTTCTTCCTTGTTCATCTTAGTCTGGAAGCGCCACTGAAACTTGCTCAGCATAATAGCAACATGCAAGCTGCCACTGACAGACAAGCGGTGGCTATGCATGATGTGCATTGGCTGGGAGTTGAATCTCGGTCTCCCGCATGGTGAGAATTCTGGCATTGAACCATCACCACCCCCATTATAACATGTAGCATTTAGACTGAGGAAAGTCCAGCAACATAAGTGCCATAAGATTGTAGCTTTTCAATGTAGGGAGCATGTCCTTGAAGAATATTGTAGATGTCATTTTCACTTGGCTACAATCTGTTAATAGGTTTTGCTCTTACTTTTAGGTCATTGGAATTGTTTTTTGCTACCAGCCAGAACAACAGAGGTGAACATTTGGTGGATGGAAAATCCCCACGTCTGTGTCGAAAATTCTCTTCCCCACCACCACTAGCTATGTCTAGAACCTCCTCCCCTGTGAGAGCCAGAAAGCTGTCCTTGACTTCTCCCTTGAACTCAAGGATAGGAGCTTTGGACCTGACCACTTCCTCGGCATCCAGCAGTCCTACCACCACACATAGCCCTGCTGCATCCCCACCGCCACACACTGGTAAAGTACCGTTGGATCTTAGCAGAGGCCTTTCTTCTCCAGAGCAAAGCCTGGGATCTGTAAAAGAGAATGTAGATAACCCCCGCGTGGACCTGTGTAACAAGCTAAAACGAAGTATTCAAAGAGGTATTATCCAGCTGCCACACCCTGCATTTACTGGCCACCTGCTTCCCCATCATTCCTTCTGGAACCCCAACTCCCTTTCTCTGTAACTTTCCTACACCTGTACAGAAAGTAGAATGGATATGTTGGCTAGTTAGAAGAGAAAATTCCTGCAGTTCCCTCTAGCCCTTGTGGAACCAAGAGCAAGGTTAGCTGTTCTTATGCCTTGTACAGTAAAAAGCTAATTGCAGTCAGTTCTGTAGTGAAGAATAGTATATTCAAACAATATTACTAGAGGTTTCTTCTTGGAACTTGGTCAAAGCTGGTTGGCTAAAGATACTTTGCATACAGCGCCCTCATCCATGAGCTCGTGCCTCAGACCTTTTCTTCCTCCAGTGCCCACTTTAAGCATTTGTACTGCTTGCAGCCTTTCCTCTGCTGAGGTTGACCTTGCTTGAAAGCATTAAGATGGGTTCTTCAGTTTAGTTACCAAGGCAGCACTCCATATGACAACAGAGGTATAGGGAGAAAAACCAATTTGGGGTCAGTTTTCATTCTCCATGCTGCAGCCAGGATTGTTTTTAATAATGTGAATCAGATCACATCATTTCCTGCTTGTTTTCTCTAATGACTTCCCATCACACTTAAAGTATATCCTCCATCCTTAGGTCTTCAAGGCCCTCTGGTACTTAGATCCTGTCTTCCTCTCCAGTCCCTCTCTTACCATGTTCCCTCATCTACTAAGCTCATCAAGTTGGTTTCCTTTTTGATTCTCAGAAACGTCAAGGTCAGTCCTGCCTCAGGCCTTTGCACTTGTTCTTCCCTCTGCTTAGACAGTCTTTCCCCGTGTAAGCTCCATGAGATCAGCTACCTTGTCTGTCTTATTCATCCCTGTATCCTTAGTGCCTAGGCTAGTACCTGGCAGGTCGTAAATATTTGTTAAATGACTGAACCAAGCAGAACATTCACTGAACTAATTGTAGGCCTTCTGGCACATCACCTCACCTTCCTCAGTTTGGTACAGTATGGGGGTTGGAAGAGGTAAACCTTGTTGCTTTAAAGTCCAGTGTTCTGCGATTAAAACAAAACGGTTTCACAGCCAAATTAGCAAGCACCTTAAAAAAAATTTTTTTTTTACTATGATTGATAATATAATCAAAATTGGACAATAAATAAAACAAAGTGCCCACATTTCAAGAAGAGTCACCCAGATGGAAGCATAGACCCTCACGTTTCTACCTCCTTGAAGTTTCCATGTACTTTATAGCTTAGATCACTGAAATAAGCTTCCTGAATAAAGTACTTCATGGAATTTTAACTGGAGTAGTCGTCATCCTCAAAAGTAGCACCCTATTTAACAAGAAATTCTCTAAATTGACAAGTTAACAACTAAGGAAGAGGAAACGGGGAAGATAATTAAAAAGTCATTAGAACAAGCTTCAGCAGAATCATGATGGATTCTTCTCTGGAATAATGAGGCAGTGCCCAGCTGACAAGTGCATCTGGGGTTTGATCCTCCCTGGAGGAAGTGATTTAGAGAAGCTTATCTGTAATACACCCTCTGGGACCGGGTAGCCTGTGAAGTATAAGCTATTAATCACAGGAAAAGACAGATCTGGGGAAAAGTCTGGATTCTTATGTTATTTTGAGTTAGGAAAGCTTTAGGAACAAGCATTTTAGTGTCAAACACCAGTGACTCCAAGGCTTTGATTTGCTTGCCCCTGGGCCTGAGATGGGAACACAGTCAGGCCTGTTCAAGAGTTGTTGAATGAGCACCTTCTCTGTGTGGGGCACTGTGCTCAGTGCTGCAGGGGCCATAAAGGCAAATAAGATGGTGTCCTTTCCCTTTATAACCTAGTTATGTGGTTAAGATAGACACAAAGCAACTATAAGGGTAGAAGGACTCTAATACAAGAGATACCGATAGTGTTCTAGAAGGTGAAAAGTAGGGGAAGTCATATATCATTGAGCCAAATCAGAGTGTCATTTGGCACAGGCCAAGAAGAATGGATCAATGGGTTAGTGACCTCAGTAGTGAAAGCCATTTCTGAGAGCAGGCAACAGTCTTTGTCCAGTTTTGAAACCATGGACAGCCCTGTAGAGCTGACCTTGTTACTAGTCTTCTTAGGGCTTTCTAGCATTGAGTTAACTTACAAAAAAAAAAAGGAAAACTCTCCTAAGGAATCTTTCTTTTTTCTGTAATTTCCTAGAGATTGCATTTTAATTTGGCCAAAGCCTAATTAAAGTGTTGTTACCTAATTAAGTGTTGTTGTTAAATGCCATTGAGCCTGCCCCTGACTCATAGCAACCCCATGCACAATGGAACAAAACACTGCCCCACTCTGTGCCATCCCCGTGATCAGTTGTGAGTCGGGCCTTTGTGATCCATGGGGGTTTCACTGGCTAATTTCAGAAATAGTTTGCCAGGCCTTTTTCCTAGTCAGTCTTAGTCTGGAAGCTCTGTTGCAACCTGTTCACCATCACAACAACATGTAAGCCTCTGCTGACAGACAGGTGGTAGCTGCACATGAGGTTCGTTGGCCAGGAATCAAACCAGGGTCTCCCACCGGGACAGCCAAAATTCTACCACTTACCTACCACTGCCCTCAAAGCCTAGTAGTGTGGAATATTTTTTTCTTTAATAAAAAGGCAAAAGTAAAGTCTGTTCCTTTCTGCATTACAGCAGTCTAACCATGTGTCATAGTTTTGTTGTTGTTAGTTGCTGCTGAGTCAGTTCCAACTCATGGTTCTAGAGATCCCTACTCAAGCTACCCATTGCCCACTATAATTAATTTTTCCATTTATTGTGCAGGGAGTGTTCCACATTGCTCACCAAGTTCCCTAGCGCTGGGTCTTCAAAGCCCAGGCCCACAGTGTATAGCGATGGTTAGGTGATGTCCAGTGCCATGTCATAAAACCTGCTTGGATGGAGGTGTGGTCACTGTGGTGGGAACCAGGAAGTTTTTCCTGGAGAAATAAGCTGGAATAAGGTAAGACTGAGAGAGACCAAGGGAAATGAGAGGGTCTGGATCAAGTGCCCAGGAAAGGACATTGACAAAGACTTCAAAAACCTGGCGTTGGCAGATGTTGGGCAGAGGTGGAATCACTGTGGTCACAGAGGCAGCTGGAGAGCCTTGCCATATGATGATAGCATTGATCATTTATGGCCTGGGACCAACAGATGGCGAGAACTTGTGAATAAAAGCATGGCAGAAATACTAGGTTCTCTCTTACACTAGAGAATTAGCTAAACTTGAGGGCTTAATCTATCTGTTTCTCACTGAATTTTCCCCAAAATGTTGACTTAGAGTTAGATTCCTGTGCCAAGAGTTTATAGATTTTCTGCTTTTCACTTCAGGATAAAACTGCACACAATCTTATTGTATAACACCAGCTTCACTCATTAGGTCCTTACTGAGGCCAAAGGTCTCTCTCACACTGTCTAACTAGATAGTTTCAGAGCACATTATTTAAAAAATACCAGTGACCTTTGTCCAACTTTATTGTCATTGAAATTATATTGCCAGCCTTGCAGTATTTTTCTGGGGAGAGAACTTAAAGTGAAGTGAAGGGAAAACAGAGAAATAGGAAATATTTCTTAAAATGAGTGAGACTATGAACTTCTTAGGGAAAGATTTTATTGTTGTTAGCTACTGCCGAGTCAGCCCCCAACTCGTGGTGACCCCATGCACAGTGGAACCAAATGCTCCTTGGTCCTGAGGCATCCCCATCATCAGTTGCAGATCGGGCCATTGTAATGCATAGGGTTTTCATTGGCAGATTTTCAGAAGTAGATCACCAGGCCTTTTTTCCCAGGCTGTCTTAGTCTGAAAGCTCTGCTGAAACCTGTTCAGCATCACAGCAACACACAAGCCTCCACTGACAGATGGGTGGTGGCTGCACATGGGGTACATTGGCCAGGAATTGGATTTGTGTCTCCTGCATGGAAGAAAGACAATGGAATTTCATTTCCCTCTAACCCCGTCCCCAAATTTGTACTAGGCTCACCAGCATTCACTAGCGTGCCCTCCCCTCTTCCTACCAGGAAGTCTCCACCTGCTTCTACCTTGGGTGCTTTTAAAAAGCACAAGAGTTAGCCTGACTCAGATGCAACCAGCTTCCACCCAATGGGGTTTTCAATGAAAATAAAACCAACAGCAATCAACGTTCACTTAGGCCATGGTTGTGTAACTTAACTCAGCTTTGCTGATATTACTAGTATCTGTGTCTGTGCTCTTGGTTTGAAAATTGTCTGCCTGTGGGCTGAAAGTGCTCCCAATTTTAGCATTTGTTTGGAGCCCACATCTGCCCACTCCTGCAAGCAAAGCTGTTTGCATGGAGCTTGATCAAAAGTGAACATGCCAGGAGCAAATCCTGTTTCTCCTCACCATCCAGGCACGATTTTTCTCCTTTCTGTAGGTACCTATTAGCTTACAGTGTTATTCTTTCTTGCCTGTTCTTTCAGTGGATATTCTGATCTTGTCCAGCTCTCTCACTGGAAAGTTTTTTGCGTTTGGTGTAATTGCTGACTAACGATTTCATTTGCCTCAGATGAATGAATGGTTGAATCAAACCAAAGAAATGCATTTGGTATTTATTCTGCTTGCTCTTTGCAGCGCAGATGCCTTCCATTACTGAATTTTGAGGAAGCTATTTAGAAAATAATAAAACTAACAGCTAAGCGCTGGTGTTTTGTCTGCATCTTGCCTCACTGCCAACTTTACTGTAATTATGTCATTCAAGGAAAAATTCTAACCATCTTCCTTCCCTGGCCCTTTTGTGTTTCAAAATAGCGGAACTGTGGCCACATTTCTAAGAGTCAATCACATGTGAGTGTAAAAATGGCTTTATGTGAAGTCATTAGGGATTTTGTAAATTTCGTTGAGTGAAATTTCGAACGGGTTGGCAAAGGGAGTCGGTTGGAGTAGTTCTGCTGAAGTATAATGTAAAATTAGCCGAAGTGACAGCAAACTTTTACCAGTGGGAGCTGACGATAAGTCTGAGGAAAAAGAGATGGAAGAATTGTTGGAAGTTTCTGAAATTCATTTAGTGCCTGTCCTTGAAATGACATACACAAAGTTGCCGTGTTACCTGATTATTAAGCCAGTGGGTCGTTGTTAGTTGTTGTCGAGTCGATCCCACCTCATGGCAACCCCAGATGTTCAGAATGGAACTGCTGCATAGGGTTTTCAAAGCTGTGACCTTTCAGAAGCAGATTACCAGGCCTTTTTTTTCAAGGTACCTGTGGGTAGGTTCAAACTGCCAATCTTTTGGTTAGTAGTCCCTTGCTTAGCCATTTACGCTACCCAAGCCTGTGGGAGGAGTATGGAAATGTCATCAGTAGTAGCCTAAATGTGACCCTAGAATGAAGTGTCTTTTATTCTCGGGATGTTAGTTGCAGTGAAGAGGGCAAAATTATCTCAAACCCTCTCAACAGTTCATTGTACAAATTTCCACTGGCTTCCTGCTCATCTTTAGCTCTAGATCAGGGCTATCCAGTGGAACTTTCTGGGAGGATGGAAATGCTTTATAATCTGTGCTGTCCAATACTGTAGTCACTAGCCACATGTGGCTACTGAGCACTAGAAATGTGGCTAGTTCAAGTGAGGAACTGAAATATTAATTTAACTTTAGTCCCTGGAGAAGGACATCATGCTTGGTAAAGTAGAAGGTCAACAGAAAAGAGGAAGACCCTCAATGAGATGGATTGACACAGTGACTGCAACAATGGGCTCAAATACAGTAGTGATTGTGAGGAGGCACAGTATAGGGTAGTGTTTCATTCTGTTGTGCATAGGGTCTCTATGAATTGGAACCGACTCGATGGCACCTAACAAAAACCATTTAAATTTAAACTTTTCATAGCCACATTTGGCTAGTGCTACCATTTTGAACGGTGTACCTCTAAGATCTAAGGGTCCTAGAGCTTCTTGGGGGGACCACATTAGTAGAGATCCAGACTTTGATTGGCTTAAGGGAGCAACCCAAGCAAAGAACTAGTGAAGTCTCAATTTTGATCCCAGTCTGATTTATAATCTGGGGAAGTTCCCCTTTCCCCATCCAGTTCTGGAGGGCGGAGGACCCACTGCATTCTCCATGTTCTCTTCAACATCTGCTGCTGTATTGGACAGAGAGACTGGGCAGGGAGAGCCAGGGTCAACCAGGATCAGCAGGGTCTGCAAGTAGGGTTAGAAAGATTCCTATTTAGATTTAGTGTTATTAGCATTCTGCCAAGAGGAATGACTTGATTTCATATTAAGGCCCTTTAAAAATGTAGACTAATATGAAATGCTCGTTATCCATAACAAACTTTTCTGTTTCTATGCATGAAACTGACAAGAAGGTCTTGAATTAAAATTCATGGTGTTTTAAAGCAGCAGTCCTCGAGTCTGCACCAGTGGACCGAGCAGGAATGGAAAGCTCGCCAGCAGCAGATGCCACAGAACTTTCACCCTGCAGATCCCCCTCGACTCCTAGGCACCTCCGCTATCGGCAGCCTGGAGGTGAGAACTCCGAAAGGGACTAAGAAAAATCAAAGTGAGAAATGATTTCTAATTTCTGGATATTTCCTTTGCCTCCCTATATTTAGTTTCAGTTGTAAAAATTAATTGTAAGAAATAATATTACTGTATATATTGATGGAAAAAATAGATGATTACAGAATGTGTCATCAGAATCACCAATATTTATTTGGGCCCTTGGTTGCATTGTGCTTCATGTGCAGTAACATGAATCAAGGGGCTTGTCCTTAGATGATTGCTAGATGAAGAATCTCAGTGCTGGTTTTACCAAAATGTTCCCAGACCTCTGATACCTTACTGTGTATCCCAGTGTAGTCTGTATTAATTATGCTTATCTGGGATGCATCAATTTCAGGGGACCTAATGGAGCCCTACTGGCACAGTGGTTAAGAGCTACAGCTGCTAACCAAAAGGCCAGCGGTTCAAATCCACCAGCCGCTTCTTGGAAACCCTATGGGCCAGTTCTACTCTGTCCTATCGGGTCACTATGAGTTGGAATTGACTCGATAGCAATGGGTTTGGTTTTTTTTGTAGCATGGGACCCCAGTCATTATTGCTCGCGGCAGAAACAGGTATAATTTTTCTCTCTCTAGTCAAGAAAATTGTAAAGGATTACCCATAATTTGTTTTAGAACATATCAAGCTTTCTCCAGTTGGTGGGAAAACCATCAGAGCAAAGGTAGAAATCTTTTATTACTCCATTTTCCCCATTGCTCAAATAAACATATCCAAATAAAATAACAACTGTCTTTGAAGTGTTTTTTTTTTTTTTTTCCTCAAGCCAATTATTTCAAGTCAGAAGGGGAAACCATAATTATGAAACCAGATTCACCCCAAGTAACCCAAGTAAAATGCAAAGGCACTTCTGACTCTTAGCTATTCATGTTTTCAAGTAAGGCAGTTTAGCAAAATACGATATCAAGGAGAGTGCATGACTCCAAATGGTCGTTCATGTGTGGTCTTAGCCACTTGGTGGAAGCTGCTGCCATTCCCATCATCAGCATGAGACCAGCTAGCTTGGGTCAGGCTGTGGACAGAGAATTTGCCTTGATGGATATTAACCCTTTGGGGATTGGATTGATTTCAGATTCCTGGTCTGTTAGGGGCCAACCTGCCATTTGGGTGGTTCTGATAAAGGGAGGTGACAAGCTAGACTTCCCTGGCTTGTCATAAGATGGCTATCGTATTAGTAAATCTCTCTTCTATTCTTAGAGCCTGTCAATCCAGGCCCTGCCAATTTACTTGACTATTGTCATGTAGGACAGACCTCCTTGAGTTCATTGTAGCCTGGAAAAATTTGGGGCCAGAGCCCATGGAAGCAAAACTCTACTAAGGCAAGAATGAAGTACTGTTCACTCTGTTACAATAATTCAGGCTGTGCTTTATCGGCCTCTGAAACACTTTCCATATATTTATATTCATATGTAAGTTTTTAAATTTATATAAGGAGTATTTGGAAATTCTGTGGTGGATTAGCTAAATCCTTTGTTTCTTCCTTGGTATGACTAAAATCACAGAGACATAGGAACACAGGAAGGAGGTTGAAATCCGTGATTATATGGAGGGTCCAAACTGGGACAGCATCATATATTATCTCCCTGTCTAACTAAAATTTTGCCCGTTCATCTGTCTACTTGTCACTTTGTTCCAGAAATATTTTAAGACTACTGCGTAAGGATAGGGTAGAGCTGTTGTGTGCTTTCACACATGGGCACCTTAAGCAGCTCTTTGCTTTCTCCTGTATTTATTTATCTTAAGGATGACTGCATAACTTAGGGGCAAGCTAATACATACCCTTCAGGCCAGAATCACAGGGAACTGTTTTCACTAAAAGCCTGAGTGAGGATAAACAGTGAGGTTGGCATCAGCATCCCAGATGCTGTGTGTTAAGCACAGTCTGAGGAGTGAAAGGGACAGTGAAAGATTGCTCAGTGCACTGTTTTGAGTTTAGAAGGGCCACACTTAACCCTTTCCCATCTTTAAAAGTGTTCTAAGAAGGAAATTCTATCAGTAACTGATGTAGGATCTTTAAAAAAAAAATCCTTCTTTATTGAGATATAAGTCATGTACCATAAAACTACCCTTTTAAGTGTTTTTTAGTATATTCACAAAGCCATGCAGCCATCACCTCGATCTAATTCCAGAACAATTTAATTACCCCAAAAAGAAACCCTGTACCCATTAACAGAAGCTCCCCATTTTCACCTCCCCTCCTTCCATTCCTCCTCCCCCTGCCCCACCAACCTTGGCAACCACTAATCCACTTTCTGTCTCTGTGGATTTGTCTGTTTTAGGCATTTCATATAAACAGAAGCATGCCACATGCGGCCTTTTGTGTCTGATTTCTTTCACTTAGCGTAATGTTTTAAAAGTCCATTTATGTCGTAGCATGTATCAGTACTTCATTCCCTTTTATGACTGAATCATATTCCATTGCATGGATATACCACTTTTGGTTTATCCATTTATCAGTTGTTTTCACTTTTTGGCCATCATGAATAATGCTGCTGTGAACATTCTTGTACAAGATGTTGTGAACATGTTTCCCTGTTCTTGGGGATAGAGTAGAGTTGCTGATGAAGAATCTTGTTATTTCCCTGTTAACAGGGACAGTACAGGGCATATGGCTCAAGCCTTCATCCAATGCAGGAAAGAAAATGAGAATTTTCATTACGGAATATTATCCACTGACCTCACCATTCCGTTTTCTTTTTTAAATAATCAGGACAGACTGCTGACAATGCCCACTGCTCTGTCTCGCCTGCTTCTGCTTTTGCAATCGCCACAGCTGCAGCAGGACACGGGAGTCCACCAGGTGAGTCGGGGGAGCAGCTATGTACAGACACACGATGATTTACATTAAAGCAGGGCTCCTTGACTGCCAGGGTTTTGATGGTGCACTGGGCAGCTTATTAAGAATGCAGATACCCCATTCCCAACCTAAGTCAGTGTGTCTGGATGGAGTGAGACTGTTTTTTCAATGAGGTGATTCTCACATAGTGACATGTGGGTTGCATTTTTGAAAAATTCTGTATCAGAGAAGGACGTGTTATTTTTCCCATATTGTTTTGTGGAGTTCTTTAACCATTTTAACCAAATTACTGGGAATAGATGTTTCCATTTTGATTGCGTACCTTGCTAAAAGCATATGCTAGGTAGGAGGAAGGGCCTGTAGAGGGAGGAGAGAAGGGAGGACTATTGCTTTAGCTGACCCATAATTAATTTCCAGTGGCTACACAATGCTTTCTGAGTTGCTGTCAGTTAGTTTTCAGAGTAAAGGAGAAGTATTTAAAATAAAGGCACAGTATTTTAATAGATGGAAATTATAGTAATGAATATTTGTCCTCTCATGTGCAAAGAGGATATTATATTAATATAAATCAGTAAGTAGCTTAAGTAGCCTTGTTGCTGTGAGGGTGCTCACTTAAACTAACGCTGTTGGTTCTGATCATCATGATTTGTAGAGTTGAGAATAATGTGTATTTTGTTGATTAGTCATTGTTCATCCCACAAAAGCATCAATTTCCAAAGCCTATGAACCTATATTTACAATAGTAGCCAGTAGGTACTATCTGTGTGAATTTCTTTCTAAATTGAAGTAAGAACAAAGGGAGATGTTTTATAATGAGCAGGAACTACTATAGGAATTACACGTATTCCATCTGAATGGAAATAGCTGCAGATTGACCACCTTCCACTTCTTCGGCATTTTGCCACAAACACTGCATTCGATGTGATCAGGCAAATCGGGGTGTTCTCCTCTCCCAAAATATTCCTAAAACCTTCTCCCAAAGTCCCATCAGCCTGACAGCAAATGGCCTGTAATGACAATAATCTGATGCCTTGTCAATCCAGTTGACTTGTATTATTGACTGCATTCCGTAATAGTGGATATTGTGCATATGTGTGTAGTGAAATAATGAAGAAATCTTTGCGATGTTTCAAAAGGGTTGGTTGTAGGTTGTGATTCCCTAAGACCTTCTCCTGTCTTCCGTTCTCACTCACAAACTATCTGTCTTTGGAAAAAGTGAAGTACAACAGCTTCCTCACGGATTTCATAATTTAAGTATGGTTTGTGTGGGGAAATAGTTTTTAGTTTTAATTTGGGATGAGCCCATTTCTCCTTTTGCTGGAAGCTGGGTAGGAGAATCTTCCTTTTCACTTGCAATTGCAATGAAAATTAAACATTCTAATAAGCTTTTCCAGTTGCCATTGAGTATTCCAACTCATGGCGACCCCATGTGTGTCAGAGCAGAACTATGCTCCATAGGATTGTTAATGGCTGACTTTTTGGAAGTAGGTCTCTACGTCTTTCTTCCAAGGTGCCTCTGGGTGGACTTGAACTTCCAACCTTTCAGTTAGTAGCCAGGCATTTAACCATTTACACCACCCAGGGACTCCTAATGAGCTTTATTTTATTTTTAAAAATATTTTATTGTGTTTTAGGTGAAAGTTTAAACAGCAAATTGGGTTCCTATTTAACAAGTTTTATACGGATTATTGTGAGATTGGTTACAATTTTCACAGTGTGTCAACATTCTCATTATTTCCATTCTGTTTGTTCTGTTTCCATTGGTCTAGCTTCCCTTCCCCTCCTTGCCTTCTCGTCTTTGCTTTTGGGTAAATGTTGACCATTTAGTCTCATACAGTTGACTGTTTAAGGGAGCACATTACTCACGAGTGATATCGTTTATTTTATAAGGCAATCTATTATTCGGCTGAAAGGTGACCTCTAGAAGTAGCTTCAGTTCCAAGTTCAAAGGGTATCTTAAGGCAATCGTTTTGGGGTTCCTCTGGTCTCTATTGGTCCAGTAGGTCTGGCCTTTTTTATGAATTTGAATTTTGTTTTACATTTTTCTCCCATTCTATCTGGGTCATACAATTCTATTGTGTTGTGTCCCTGGTCAGAATGTTGGTAGTGGTAGCCGGGCACTATCTAGTTCTTCTGGTCTCAGGTTAGCAGAGGCCATGGTTCGTGTGGGCTATTAGTCCTGTGGACTAGTTTCTTATTTGAGTCTTTGTTTGCCTTCATTCTTTTTTGCTCTAGACGAGCAGAGACCAATAGTTGTATCTTCGATGGATGCTCACAAGCTTTTAAGACCCCAGATGCTGCTCAGCAAGCTAGGATGTAGAACATTATCTTTATGAACTATATTATGCCAGTTGACTAAGTTGTCCCACGAGACTATGGTCCTAAGCCTTTTAACCCAGTAAACCAATCCCACGAGTTGTTTGGATGTGTCTAGGAAGTCTCCGTAACTGTGCCCTCTATGTGCTTTATTATATATATGGGTATATATGCAGCACACAGAAGCATATACGTACATATGCCTACAGATACACCTATATATGCACGTGCATGTATTCACATCTGCCTTCCTATACACATATATGCATACATATCTACCTATGTAACCACACACATATTTTTTAGTTACTACTGTTGTTGCAAAATTATATATGTTACCTTTACCGATATTGTCCCTTTTTCTTCGGTACTTCTTAATGTCTTTATTTACCTTGGTTAAGATGTGCAGACTTCACCCATATTAGGTATTGCCTTTCCCATCATCAAAAATAACAAGTGTCTACTATCTAGAAAGGGATTCCCCCTCCCTCCCCCCATCCTTGGTAACCATCAAAGAACGTTGCTTTCTATGTGTATATCTATTCTTGACTTTTTATAGTAGTGTGATCATGCAATATTTGTCCTTTTGTGATTGACTTATTTTACTCAGAATAATGTCCTCCAGATTCACCCATGTTATGCTTCTTGGACTCATTATTCTTTATAGTTGCTTAGTATATATTCCATTGTATGTACCACTGTGTTTATCCATTCATTCATTGATGGGCACTTAGATTGTTTTAATCTTTTTGCTATTGTGAATAATGCTGCAATGAACATAGGTATTCCTAATGAGCTTTAGAGAATAGTTTTCTGACTTTGCCAGGTTGTCCATGCATATTGGGCCAGAAGGGTAAAGTAACCAAACCAGCACAGCTTCCTCTCTGTCTGAACATACGTTGTTCTGCTGCCTCTCTCCATACTTCTCCCCTCAGCCGAAATAGCCTCATGAAGAAAGCTGTCATAATGAGCCAGCCCTGGCTGTGCTTTCTGAGGACGGTGTGGACATGCTAACTGACCACAGCCAGTGTTGCTAGGTGGAGGAAAGCCTGACTCCTGGGCAGCCAGACTGCTTTTTTATTACGGTGTTGTGGATGTTGCTTATAATGTGGTCTGGAGCCATATGATTCAATTTTAGAAATAAAAGAAAACAAGGGAAGAGATTTGACAGTGCCTGCGACTCTGTTGTTAAGGCAACAAGTTGCACATGGTCAGTTTCAGTGGCTATTGGCAGTAAGAAAGGGAGCCTCTTTTGGAGTGGGGACCAGTGTTTCCCTGGGGCTCAGCCACTCAGTGGAGCTGGCCCAGCAGGAGATTCCACCGGCCTGCGAGAACTCTGCAGAAGAGCTTGGCTTCATTGGAAGCTGAGGAAGGTTGGATTCTAAGGTGAAGATCTGGACTTATTGGCCAGCAGAGAGAGCACAGTGTTGTCCAGGGAAGGGCTAGACCCAGATGGCTTGACAGGTGTTCAGAGTAAAGGCATGCTAGACAAAGGTTAGCTCCCAAACTGGACTTTGTATCCACGCTTTGAATCTGGAATTTCTGACCTGAATGCGCCATAGCCCATCTGTCAGTTTGTCATACATACTGTGGGGACTTGCGTGTTTCTGTGATGCTGGAAGCTTTGCCACTGATATCTCAAATACCAGCAGGGTCACTCATGGTGGACAGGTTTCAGCAGAGCTTCCAGCCTAAGACAGACTAAGAAGAAAGGCCTGCCGATCTACTTCTGAAAATGAGCCAATGAAAACCTTATGGATGGCAACATAATAGCCAAAACAATGGAGTCACTCATACAATGAGTGTGAGGATGGCTCAGGACGGGGCAGTGCTTCACTCTGTTACACATGAGGTCGCTATGAGTCAGAGCCGATTTGATGGCAACTAACAACAACAATGCATCATAGAGCCTCATGCTTTTATCAGTCTCGCCAGGCTTCCTGTCTGCTTGTGGGGCTACAGTATGGGTGCATCTGGAGGCCCAGCTCTGCTCTCTCCTGGCTCAGTAGCATGAAACAAAGTACTACCCTGCCAAGCCATGTGGTCTGCAGAGTGGATCTTCCCTGCTCCAGGCTCTTCTGTAGGTTCCTGCCTGGTTTAATCCTATCCCCCTCTCCTCACCAAAATACACAGGAATCTGGCAACTCTGGGTTATAACTGTCACTTAATGATTATGCCTTAAAACATTCACTCCAGGCATTTGCATGCTAGACCATTTCTCTTTAATCATTGCATTGGAAATCTTTCTTATTGCATTAAGAGGAATTCCAAATTTAGCAAGAGTGTGGACAGAAACTTTTTTTTTTTTTGCAAAGAGGCCAGACAAGATGCTCTTGCCTGGGCCTGACTTTGGCAGGTTGTTTGCAAACCTGATTTTATTTGTGGAAGTTGGCCTGGGATCTGCTTGGGATCTCCTGCCCTATCCCAGGGGTCTTGGCCTGCCTACTTTCCACAGACACTGGAAAAGCCTGGGTTTTTCCTCCCTGATTTCAACTAGGATCTAGAGTTTGCCCTTCCCAAACATGGATAGGTTGCTTCCTTCAATAACACCTCCATTATTTGCTTTCTGAGCCCACTTCTTCTATCCAGAGAACCGAAAGCCTCTCCCTAAAAACTCAAGAGTGGAATTTTATGCTTTTTGTGAGTATGGAGCCTTTCAGGGAGATTTTTATGGCTTTTTAGGCAGA